CCGGTTTAACCCTTTCCAGGCCGAATCTGTTTGTTTTCCTAGCAGTCCATGGTATTCTCTGAAAAGGAGTTTTCATCTATTTCTTAGTAAAAACTTACAGTGTCACAGAATCTCTAACTTTAATTCTTTATTCCTAAATATTAGACACTGTAAGTTTTTCTGATTGATTTTTAATTTAATACTGTGAGATGCACCATTCAATAGGAAACCTGGGACAGGTAGTTGGGACACCTGGTTTTGTTTCAGGTTCAAAGGTTAACTGAGGGCTATATTCTCAGAGGTTTTATGAGTCTCTTATTGATCCAGTATTGATAATGACATTTGCTAATTATCTTTTCATATGTGAGTCAAGATTTCCCTGTTACATAATTTAACTGTCAACATTTGATTAGGTTATAAGACAGTAAATATATATTATGTTATGAGATTCTGTACATAATGACTCCTCATTGTGAAATCAAAGCTCTAAGAGAGCAACAACTTTTTGTGGACTTCATTTCTATGTCCTCAGCACCTTAGCACTTGGTACACAATTGCACTCAAATATTTGCTGAATGAATGAATATATGCCTAAAATCTGTGTGCAGTTTCCAAAGCCTTATAACAAAAGGTCAAATCTCTTTAATAGCTTTTCCTTGCCTGCCTTTCTGGTGTCATCTTATATCTCCTCCCCCATTCCTTTTTTAAACTTGTGCTTTGAGTGGAAGTTTACACAACATGATTATTTTTCAAAATCAACCGTCTCTCCTTCTTTTAAGCCATGTATTTCATCCAAAGTGAAAACTCTTTAAAACTTCATTTTAATTAAGTTGAAACCAACTCAGAGCTGAAACTCCACTGTATTTTCTGAGGCTATAAATCACATGGAATATTTCAAATCTTTCTCAAGTAGAGCAAATGGTGTATTCGAACTGGCAGAGAAGTGTAATCTCTGAGTTAATAGGGCAATTCTTTATAAACTATGGCACCAGAGCTCCATAAATAAAGCATGTAAGTGTTCAGAATCTGCTTCAGCTTTCAAAGTCTGGAATCGACATCAATCTCGCTACTCCTTTTTGTCTTGGCTAAGCCCTATCATACTTAAGTCTCAGTTCAGTTGCTTAGAAAAATCTTTCATGATGGCCTGCAACCTCCTAAGGCTTTTGCTGCCCAGCCAGTATGATCTCTTCGGCAAACAGTTCAAAGCACAAACACATTGCTCATCACCCCCTACTTTTATGGACTGTTAACCTTGTTTTATGGTTACATCAAGCTCCTTCAGAGCAGAGGATTTCATCTAATCCATCTTTATCTTTTCAGATTTTCGTATGATAGTTGGCGTCTAGGAGATGCTCTATAATATTTACAGAATGGGAGAGTTATTTAAAAATAATGTATGTTGTAAGCAGTTAAAAGAACTGTAACAAAGCAAGATACTATAATGAAATGTGCAGAGACCTGGAGTCAGAAAATCAAAAGGGCCAAACTTGCTCAGTGTTTCTTAAGCTGAAGGAGCTGAAAAACAAATTCAAGCCATGGGTGGCAATACTTAAGGATACTGTGGGTAGAATGTTAAATGATCCAGGAAGTATCAAGAGAAGATGGAAGGAATACACAGAGTCACTGTATCAGAAGGAA